CGACATCTGCAACGAAAGACGTTGTGCCAGGCGATCGTGCTTCTTGTCGAGAGCTACGAGAGAAGCCGATGCTTTTGGAGTAGGGAGCAAGAGGAGTTGCCGGCAACAGGAGAAAATACCGTGCGAGTAGCGATAGGGAAAGGCTCGTATCGGAACGTAAAATATCGATATTGTTTTATTACATTTGGCAAGTTTTTATTTCCGCCGGTATTTCATCGACGTGTAACAATATTATATCCACTGATTGGAATTTTCATACGACGTAGTTTTTAAATTTTTCTCACGGGTGAAACTCTAATCTCGATAAATCTTTATTATTATTATTATTATTATTATTATTATTATTATTATTATTATTATTATTCACCAGCCAGTTCTCTGTCTCAGCTTGATAATATCGTCCGATTGATTTTCAAAGGCTTCACAAACACTGAAATTTACCAATATTATCCGAGGCAACCGAAATATGGAACGAGAGGAAACGGCCCATGTGAAACTGACGGCCAATGTTCGTCCTGGTTTCACATTTCCAACTGTCTCGAAACTTGCGAACGCAACGATAACAGAGCAATTCGATAATTGTTAATTCCGAAATATCGTGTGACTGACAGGGGACACTATTCGATGCAGCTCGGCTCGAAGTGTCTTGAGCCCATCGCTAGTTAGCGGTCTGACGTTTCGAGCCCCGTTAAAGCCCACACGTTGCGCTCCAGGCGTATTATACGAAAGCCTTTGTGCATTGTTTGAGCTTTCCCGTCCATTGTGCTTTCCAGTTACACACAGCTTGGATTCTCCTGCACTCGTGGCATCCAGCTGCGTTTCTCCTCGTCCTTTTCCTCCTCGTTTCTCATACACCGGCTCTCTCTCTCTCTCTCTCTCTCTCTTCTCCTGCACTCTATGCTACGGAGAACAGTATGATTCTCTTCTCGATACACAGAGCGAGCTTTTGCTGCCTTTTTGGACAAACGTCTGAACGGGATAAGAAACTGCCAACACTTTGCCGGAAGAGAATGCGCACCGGGAACTGTCCCGCGAGACGTCTGGAAGACTCGTTTTTCAGGATCGGTCACCGCGTTGCTTCTTCCGGTTTCGTCGAACGTTCGCGGAAAAAGCGATATTCATCGATTGAAATGTTTGACAGTCTCGGACGATTCTTACTACGGAAACGCGTGCTCACCGTGACGAACAATTCGCGAATTATATACATACTTCCGCGAGACGTTTTGCAGAACATTTTGCAGCAAAGCGCCGAACA